TGCAACAAAAATACAGATTTAAAAAGGGAGTTTGCACACCCCCAGTTGCATATTCCAGAGGATAAATGTGATTGAATTAAAGAATAGTAGGCATACCTAGCTATTTCAAGGCCGAGGTTATCTGATATGCTATGCTAAGTGCATAGCAGCCAGACAGAAGCAATTTTTTTATTCAGAATTTTGACATGTTCAGAAAACTTAAGGTTTTTATTTATTGCTAAGCCAAGAAATTTATTCGATTCAGGATTCGAGAGACCTTCACTTAAAATTTAAAACAGTTTTCGAAATATTGAGGGGTTTGCATCAAAACATTCTTTCAACAAAAATACATCTTCCTGAATAATCTAGAATGCCTGTAAACTTCCTGGTCATGCCATAGAATTGTCTGATCATCCGCAAACCGCAAACGCTGTTAATCTTCTCCTTATTGGAAGATGAGATAGGTCATTGATAAAAATCAAGAACAAGAGTGGTCCAAGAATTAAGCCCTGAGGTACGCCAATACTCACAGATTCCGCTGAGGAGCTTTCCCCATTGAAAACAACTGAGTCTTACCACTCAAATATGATCACAACCACTCCAAAGCCAAACCCCCAATACCATAGATACATACTAAGTTTATCCAGTAGTATTCCATGATCTACACAATCAAATGCACAGAACACCGCCGAAGCCTTTCCTCCCGAGTTCAAGTTTATGTAGAGATGCTCCAAAAAGCTTAAAATGGCATCACTTGTGCTTTTCTTCCTTGGAATTCTAATTGTGCGATACTAAGAAGTTTATGCTTTGTTAGAAAAGCTATTAGTCTAACTTGAATTAGTTGTTCTTCTATATTAGATAGGGTAGGAAGTAGTGTAATGGGCCGAAAATTAGAAGGTAGTTCGCGATCTCCACCCTTGAACAATGAAACAATCAGCAGGGCCCCTAAGACAATTTGAAAATTTTCCGGTTGTAAAGGAAACATTGATAGCCAGTGCATCCCATACCAAGTCTGGAAGCGCCTCAAGTACCCTTATCGAAATTTTATCCCATCCTGAAGAATTCTTATTTTTTAATGTTTTAAAGATCTTCAATCTCCACAGATGTTACTGGATAGATGAAAAACGTCTCCGATACAAATATATTGCATAGATAGTCTAAAGGTTCTTTATAGGATGTAACTTTACTAAACAAAGCTATGCTACAGTAAAAATAATTCAAATCATTTGCCATGAGATTTGAGGAAACCATGGACGAATTTTCACCTCTAAACTTATTTACAAGTTTCCATGATTCTCTATTTTTATTGCAAGACTATGTAATTTGATTCCCATAGTACAACTCTTTTCCCACGTTAATTCTGTAAGTTTTAACGATATATTGCATAGATCTTAAGTTAGCAGCTGACGTTTTCAGACTCCTTGTGTACTAGGGATTGAGCTTTTTATGCTTTATCCTGACAAAAGGAAAAGAAATGATAAAGTTATTGCTTAAAAGTAGATGAAAGTGCTCCATACAGTCTTCATTCGAAAATATTCTCTTCCAGTCCGTATGATTGCATAGCAACCCAAACTTTTTAAAATTTTTCTTAGTGAAAAGTCTGCTTTGTTTAAAGATTTTTCTTAGTTTAGGAATTAACTATGAAATGAACAGAATATTGCATCATGATCAGACAATCCAGCATTTATTGTCGAACACAGAGTTTCGATCTGACATAGGGGTTATTGTTGTTGGTTCGGTAGCGTGCATTGAGAGATTATAAGAACTTAAAATATTTGTTGGAACTCAACGTTTTGACAGGATTGATTCGAATAGTTAACGTTAAGGTCGCCCGCAAAAATCACCGAAGCATTAGGTACTAGATATCTCTTCTGAGAGCAACATATCCAGCTTTTCAGAGATTTATATTTGCCACTGGGAACCTGTAAAAACATACAATTTCAGCCTAGCGCAAAACACAATTGAAAACTCGCACACTCTCTCCCCAGTCCCCAAAAAGGTAGACATACTGACATACTTACTTATCTATCTGAACAACAGTTGGTCAAAAAATCTTCGCACACTGAAATTAAAGTACCTCTGTGAGAACCCGGGGTTCTAGAAAACTTAGAGACTAAAACATAGTTTTGTACATAAGTTACCTCATCTGATTTCAGTCAGTGCTCCACAATAACAATTATTTCACGAAACTTATGACAATTCAGAAACAGCAAAAGATCGTCCACTTTGGTGGCTAGGGAAAAGTTTTCGATTGTTTCGTTAATACTCTTCGCTGATATTCAAAATCCCATCCTATTAAAATGAGGGAGATTACACACAAAACAAGATGAAGTCAGAAATTTGTTTGAAGTCATGACTCTATAATAATGTTGTTATTTACATAGGTCATTCAATTTAGGGAAAATGTCATGTGTACTATTATACATATTGGAGATTTTAACATAAATTTGATAAAAGATAAAAGAACATCTTTCCTTATTAATCCTTATCTCAGTATGATCTCGGAGTTGCTCGTTAGTATTTAAAGGGCGTTTTGTCACTCTACGCTGGACACTTTCCAAGATCTCAATGTGCTTGACCAGGATCTGTCACAAAAGGCTTTCTATATGAGGTCACAAAAGGCTTTCTGTATGAGGTATACAAAAGAGTTTGCCCTCTTGACAACTGAGGATATATGGGCTTCCCATTTTAGGTAAATAATAAAATAGTGTTCAGAAACCTACTCTAATGTTCTGCAATATTATAAGACCTGTATATACATTATACAAGCCAGAATATACTTTATATCTGCTATCTTGATGTTTAGCCAAACAGCATTAATGTCTGGGGGCGCCCTGTATTTGTGGTTTATGATTCTAGTATAAATATTCTGACCGTTGATTTCAGTTTTTATCCAAATGCAAACTCCTGCTTTTCGCTGATCTTCACGTACATCTCGACCATCCCTGATCCAGGCAAGCATATGAGTGAGTCTGATATTCCTTTATGAAACTATTCCTCAGTAATATAACCAGTATGAATGTTGGGTTCTTTCTGAGCATGTCTGTCTGAAATTCGTGGATTTTATTGTTTAGTTAGTTGGCATTTGTATAGTAGAATATAACTTCAGACATTATTGGGAGTTTTTTGGCTGCTGTTGGTCGCCTTCAGCATTTGCCTTGGAAGATCACATTATGATATTTGATTTTGAGATGTATCTCAGCGTTTGCTGTTCTCTCCTCAAACTCTCGTAAAACCGTGCTTGAGTAAGCTCTTTGTGCTTTAGTTTGGTCATTTTTAAATATTTTGCTGTTTTATCCAGTTTATTCTTAAATCTGAGGGCGGACAACGCATTATATCAGCCAGAGGTGTAATAGGGTTTAGTGACTTTATGAAATCTCATACTGAGCTGGCAGTTGACAACCATTATAATTCTTTGTTCTACCCTGTTGTGTATTGTGCTCGGTACATTGTTATTTTATACTTTTGTCTGTTCCTCTGTTTCTTGTTCTTTCATTCTCTGTTTTGACTGAGTAATGTTTAAGCTTTATTTTAGTATGACTTTGTCAGCAACATTTTGTTTTAGGACAATCAAGCTATCTTTTGACTTTGACTTTGAACAAATTCTGGTAAGATTCCAGCACTCTGCAAATTGTTTGCATACTGAGCAAATTTCCCTTTAATGTGTTTTATGTCCGATTGACCAATAAAGTGCTATTTATAGAACAGTTTTGCATCAATAAAGTAGCACTTTATTGTACTAGTAAAGTGCTACTTTATTTTACTAGTAAAATAAAGTGCTACTTTATTGCCTACCTGGACAACCTAACAAGGTGAAACAGGTCCTGACAACTTGCCAACGTGAAACAGGTCCTGACAACCTGCCAAGGTGAAACAGATATACCTACGCGAATTTTACTTTTTTCATTAAATTTTTTTAATTTTTAACAAAAATCAGTCGCAATCGTACATAAAATCATGTATATAACGCTTACATAAACAGGCTTTATTGACTCATTATTTAATAGCCTCGCTTGCAAGCTCGCTCGGCCATAAAATTATTCGTACAATAAAGCCTTCCTTTATGTACTTGTTATATAAATAGCTATTAAATGTGTTTTCTTCTGGGATTTTCTATTGAAATATCAAGAAAAACCGTCTTGAATGGGTGTAATATGGCATTTTCACAACATTTTGCGTGATTTTTCACTTCTTTTGAATCAAAATATTTCCCATGTTGTCTTAAATGTGGTATAGTTTGCGTTTAGCAACAAAACAACCTTGGAAATTGGAACAAATAGTCATACATATCCATCGTGAGACCGAGACGTATTTTTGGTTCAAATTTGCGTTGATAATGAAACAAAGGACCCTGCCCAAAGTATACGGAAGTTGTGTTTATATCAGAATTGACTGAATTTTGTATATAATGTAGATCTCGCCGTTCTGATTGAAAGTTACCATTGCACCGATTCTGAAAAATAACTCCTTTTTGAGAAAATTAATTTCATAGGTACCAAGTATAAGGCTTGGAGATTATAATGAACGTTCAATGTAGCGTGAATAGGTGAGTTTGATGGCGCAGTGGTGTGCTACGGTAGAACACTAAGGAGTACATTTTCAGGATTGGTGCAATGGTAAATTTTAATCAGAAACGCGTGATCTACATTATATACAAAATTCAGCCAATTCTGACATAAACACAATTTCCATATACTTTGGGCAGGGTGTTTTCCTGTTTCTTTCAACAAGTTTCATGAAACTTATTTCTCCAGTGTGTCACCTGCCTTAAAGTTTGCGTTTAGCAAAATGACAACCTATATTGGAACAGATACTCATAGAGATTCTTTTGGAGACGTATTTTTGATTGAAATTTGTATTTAAAATCCAAAAATGGTCTAAATCTGTTTCAAATCTGATTCTTCAAGGCTTTTTCTGTTGAAATAAAAATAGAAACTGTATTAAACGGGTGTAAAATTGCATTCCAACATTTCAGGTGATATTTTTTACAATCAAAATCTTTCCCACATTGTCTTAAATGTGTTAAGCTTAGCTTTTAACAATACAACCTATATTGAAGCAAATAATCATGCAGACCCATTTATAAACGTATTCAGACTCAATTTACTAGTTTATCTCTACCTTTGCATTTTTCATAGACACAGGGATTGGCTCCTGATTGTCTGATCCCTAATTGTGTTAGCTTTTAGTAAAGGTTCTGAAATCGTAATGTTCCCCAGCTTGTTTCGAGCCATATAGGGATTTATTGGCTTTTTCCCTTTGGCTCTGGACGCTGTGTAAGTCTCGTTTTAGTTCTCAGGGCGAAAGTGACTCAAAACTATCATTTTCAAGGCAGTTTCTTGGAGCTTTGTGGGGGGAGAACTATGAAACTATGTATTCTCAGATAACTCATGAAAAAATTAAGGGTACTATTCAAAGACATGCTATCTATTTATACCTAAAGCCTAAAGGTACAGAAATTATACAGGGTGTCCCACTAAGGTCGGCCAGGTACGATATATGGAGACCATAGACCTTACGTAACTTGAAAACGAATGCAGATATTGAATTGCGGTTTGCGCCAAAATGTAGATATTAATGTAGATATTTTTTTGCTCTTTAAGCACAGAAATACAAAAATAATATTATGCCATTTGGATTTTTCATGAAAATTAGAAAAAACTGTATCTTGAATAAACAGCGCCAGAAGACTCGGTGGGAACTATCGACCTCGAACGAAATGGGGTTTTTGATAACAATGAATGAATGAGCAAATAAACCCAAATTGAATGAATTTGAATGAGGGGTATGGAAGATACAGCAATTTCTAAAAAAAAAACTTCACCAGCTTCCCCCACCCTTATCACTGAAGATACGAAAAAAAGCCTAATAACCAAACTGGCGCAAAAATTAATGAAATTCTGATTTCTGTTGTTAAAACAGTATCTTAATATAGCGATTTCTTGAGAAAAGTTGAATTTTTAGCTATATCATCGTAATTGCGCCCCCTAGCGGTCATCCTAGAAACTTGAAAATAATTTCTATCAATTTCTCTTGGCCGATTTAGTGAAGAAAAAAAAAATCCCGAAGCCGTAAGGTCTATGGTTTCCATAATATCGTACCTGGCCGACCTTAGTGGGACACCTGGTACATATAAATTCATATACAATTTCTTTCTTATTACATAGATTCGTGATAGCCTGCATAAAAAATTCTGGACATCATTCGCCTATAGTTTTAGTATTCACTGCATATTCAAAAACATTTTTCTTTTTCAGAGGTATAAATCGATCAACTAATACACCTACAAATAATTTTGTTTCAAGCATAATCATAGCAGTGTGTGCTTGTATATTGTTTTTACCAACCGAACCAGAAGTTAGTAAACCTTCCTCGCTACCCAGCTACTTCCATGTGTCACATAAAATACAATTATTGGCAGCGCTATTGTTGGGTGTGTTTTTATGTATTTTAGTCAGGTCCTAAACTAAATCGCAGAATCTTAACATGGACAAATTAAGAGGCTGGAACGGTGATACTGCTATTAATTATTAGTTTAAGTTTTTGTTTTTTTAACTTATGAGTTGATTCTATTTTTTTGAAAGATTATTTATTTTTTTGTTAAAATAATAATAATTATAAATATAGTATGTTTAAGGAGTACCTAATATACGTGATTTTTTTATGAATTTTTGTTTATTATCCTCTACAATATCAGGTTGGTTCTCACAGAAATCATCATTGGTTGAGAATAGTCAGAAAACTCTTTGTTATCGATTTGCTGGTTTGTGATTTCTGTGAGAACAGTCCTATTATACCGTGACTCTGCTCTGCTAGTTATGTTGCTTGCTCAGAAAATTATCTGAAGTTGAAAAAGTTTCTTCAATAAAGATTATCAGTTTTTTCAGCTTCAAATTTCAATAAGTATGATATTCAAACCACCTTTCTTCAAAATAAATAATAAAATCTATATAATTTTAAAAACAACAAACAATTATTAATTTTTCCTGTTGACATTATTCAACAATACTGTTCTTCATGAATTTTTAACGATATCCTGACAAGCACTTAAAACTGTAGGAAAGCTGAATTTAAATCCAAGTTCCTGGGTCCTTTTGGGTATAACTTTTTGGCCTTCCGTTATCATTTTAGCCCTTTCTGCTCCTAGCATCATATTGAAAACAAAACTGGGAACTGGTATGAAGGCTGGTCGGTTTAGTGCTTTTGCAAAAGCCTAGAAAAAATATGCCAATGAATAACTAACAATTAACTATTAGACAAAAAGAAGTACTAACATCTGAAAATTCTTTGTTGGTACAAACTTGAGGAGCCACTGCATTGAGAACACCATCAACTTTACTATTTTCTATGCTAAATATAATTAAATCGACCAAATCTTTTATGTGAATCCAAGGTAGATATTGAGTTCCATTGCCGACAGGACCACCAAGTCCCAAGAAAAATGGCATGTAAAGTTGTTTTATCATGCCACCGTCTCGTCCCAAAACCACTCCACTTCTAATAGTAGTTATTCTACATTCGTTTCTAGCAGGTCCATCTATGGCAGCTGCTTTTTCCCATTCCAAGACCAATTTAGAGAAAAAATCGAATTGTTCAACTGTACAACATTCATCATATTCCTTATCTTTGTCTGGTTTATAGCCTCCAACACCCGACATTGACACAAAAGCTCTGGGTTTATGTTTAGCATTAGCAATCGCTTTAGCTAGAGAGGCTGTAGTGTTAATTCTAGAGTTATAGACGTTTTGTTTGAATCCAGCAGACCAGCGCTGCTTGAAATCCATTACATTTTGACCGGCTAAATTTACTACCGCCACAGTACCTTCTGGAAGGCCATTGGTGTTTAGCTCTTGCCACGAAATGTTTTTCGGTCCAGGCATTCTCGAGACCACTTTGACTCCATAGTATTTGCTTGTTAGGGTTTTCGTGAGGTGTTTGCCAACAAAACCTGTACCTCCACCTAGAATGGATTTTGTAAATGACCTTTTGTAATCAATTTGCAGATTATAAAAGACACTTACCTACTAGAACAGTTCCTGACATAATAAATTTTATTCACTAGGTTTTCCTTTTTATATCATGTTATTTTTATATTATAGAAAAATTGATTGATTGACTGACCTTAGATTTTTATTTTTTTTGAAAAATAAAGTACCTGAACCTGACTTTTCAGTTTTCACTGACAGCAAGCAAAGCAGGGACCAGCTGATTTTTGAAGGCAACAACAAAACATGAGAAGAGAGAAGTTGTATCAGATTCCAGGATTATTTATTTGGATATTTTGTCAGCAATTTATTCTATACTCGTATTACTAGCCTGATTTGATTTGTTTTGATTTCTTTATTTTTATTTATTATACGGTTTTTTATATTTTGGAGGCATATTCTATTTTACATAAAAATTAATTTTATCAAAGTGAATGGACTAAAAGAGCAGTGCTCTATACAAAAATAACATTAGGGAGTCCCCTAACGCCAAAAGACTTCCCAGAAGAAAAAAAATTGTGTTGAAGATTTTTTGAAGATAAATTATGGAGGTTGGTGAGTGTTTTGTTATCACTCTACCACAAAATTTTGAAGAAATGGTTTGTATTAGCGTTAACAAACATCCTATATTGATAACACAAATTTTAAAATTTAGCACCACAGCAATGTCTCGGAGGAGACAAAGGAGTTCAAGAAAGAATCAAAACAAACCAGAAAGCGAAAACTCTCAGACCCTTCCAAATTTGCTTTTCATTGCCACTGCGGTAAGAATTTCAGCAAAATTAAAAATCTAAATTATCATAGAAGACAAGTACACAACGAAGCAGTTTCTACTTTAAAACCACCGAAAAAAATGTGCCCTTTATGTGATTTCTCTTCAACTTACCACAATGATATGGTAAACCATTACAAGTCCTCACATAATATTCATATTGTGGAAGAGAAACTCTTGTTTCTAACAGAAAAAGAATTTTTGAAATGGAAAACGAATATTGAAGCTGAAACAGTTGCCAGATTTAGAATAAACGAATCCCCTAACTGGGCTTCAAAAAAGCATAAAACCACTAAATACAGTTGCAACAGGTCAGGCCATTACCAAACTAAAGGACAAGGTAAAAGATCATTGAAAAAACGAGGTAGCATTAAAATAAATGGTTATTGTCCTGCAAGAATTATTAAACAATTACAGACTGATGGTAGTTGCACTGTACAATTTATTAGTGCCCACGTAGGCCATGAAACGGAAGTTCATTGTTTGCATCTGTCCACAATGGAAAGAGAGGAAATTGCAAAAAAAATTAACATGAACATCCCCTATAGTAAAATTCTAGATGAAATAAGGGACTCTTCTGAATCAGAATCCAATTTACAAAGAATTCATTTTTTGACAAGAAAAGATTTACACAACATTGAGGCTTCATATAAAATTCATTCACAATCACAACTCTTTCGAAAGCATTGTATTTCAGATTTCAACCAGTGGTCCGCGGAAATGCAAAATGAGGGCGATTGTGTGCTTTTTTATAAACCTCTAGGCACTTTTCTTGATGATCACGAAAACCTCAATTCAAATGATGTCGTTTTAATATTAATGTCTGCTTCGCAGTTGGATATTTTTAAAAAATATGGAAACAATTGTGTTTGTATCGAAGCAACAAAAGAGGATTTAGTTAGTAATGATGGTGAAAATTTTAAATTGCATACATTATTGGTGCTGGATGAATTAGAAGAAGCGTTTCCGTGTGCTTTTCTCATATCTAATAAACTGGATGTTTATGTTTTACAGTTATTTTTTGAGCAAATACAATTGAAGGCAGGAAAGTTATTTAAACCTAAAGTCTTTATGTCTGGCTTGGAGGAGCAATATTTTGATGCTTGGATAAGTGTAATGGATATCCCTGGAAAAAGGTAACTATCTTTAGAGAATATCAGAGCACAAAAGTATTATATTAAAAATACCTAAAAATCATAAGAAAATTGGCTGATAATAGAAAAATATGTTAGTTTTCAAATTTATTGTGTAGGTATTCAATTTTCAATGTAATTTTTAGGATTTACTCTTCATGGATTGTTGATCAAACCTGGCGAGAAAATTTGAGCAAAATTGATTGTCAGGATTTACAAGTGTGTATTCTCCATTACAATACTCAATTCGCCATAAACAATTATGTTCTAGATTGCTACATATAAACATCTAAGAGATTTGCTATCCAAACGAGATGCGACATCATTTCATAAAATGTTAGACGATTTTATTTCCATTGATAATCCGGAATACTTAGATTTTATAAATTACTTCAGAGATAATTTTTCTGTCAATTTTGAATATTGGGCTTATTGCTATACAGGTCTAAATTCAAACACAAGCTTAGAAAGAATGTGCAATTCTATAAGCCAGCTTTATCAAAAAGGAAAAAATGGTCAGAAATTAAATAGAGGCATTGAGGCTATAATGCGGTTTGTAAGGGATAAGGTCATCAATAAACTTACTAGTAAGTTAAAAATCGAACAACAAATTTTTGTATTAAAACTGATTTATATTTTAGTTAACAACAACGAGAAAATTCGACACAAAATTAAAACAATTAAATTACGCCATAAAGCTATGGAAAATATGAATCCAACTACCCTAATACAATCTGAAGATGGATGGGAAGTAGTTGCCCAATCAGAAAAAAAAATATATCAAATTCAAAAGCAAGAAACTTACTGTGAAGATTGCCCTTTAATTTGCAAACCATGTAATGTATGTTTGCATCAGTTTCAGTGTTCTTGCTTAGATTCGGCTGTAAAATATAATATTTGCAAGCACATACATTTTGTGGCAAGATTTATTCAAAATCCAAGTCCCATAGAAGAAGAGATTGGTAAGTTATTGTCAATTTTTTATTATATATGTACTTAGAAATTCTAAGGTGTTTAATGAAAGAAAGTTCTTTGGATCAAACTTGTACAGCAAAATTAGGTTTCAAATTTTATAAGTTAATGTTCATTCATGTTTCAAATGGAAATAATTTAGCCATGAGGTTGGTAGCAAGCAAAATCGTTTTGAAACTTTCATTTATCAATTTTTTTAATGTGGCGGTTCAGTTTGTCCTGAAGAACATTTTCAGTTTCTAAGTTTTATTGAGGATTTTGGTAGTTTTTGTAGCAGAAGATGACTCTATAACAACGACCCAAGTAAATGAAGAAAACAATGATCTTGAAATGCAAAAAGAAGAATTAAAGAAATATGTGACTGATGTGATAGATAACTGTACAACTCATGAGCAGCTAAATGTTATCAGAGAAGCTTTGGATCAGATTAACCTACAGTTGGATTCAATGAGTTTAATATAATTTTTTTTTGAATATAATTTTTTTTATTACTTAAGTAGCTATAATATAGGATAAACCTAATTTGGATTAACCGTTTTTAATTTCCTTTCAAACTTCTCGATACGCGACTGTCAACTGGAAATACTTTTCCGCGATTTCTTCAGTTTCTCAAATTTTCCACGTCTACACGATTTGATATTAAGCGCGGATTTAAATTGAGGCGTTGAGAAACAAGAAAAATCCTGTATTTTATGTTCACTGGATGATTGATGACAGTTTGTTTACTCATTTAAAAAAAGTCGAAAATAGGTACGCAAAATTTCAAATTTCTGACAATAAATTTTTGTTTTTGATGATGGATTCTAAAAATTTAGCTCAAACTCTGCACAACTTTTGCATCTACCCGACTACCTGTTAACTTTACATATGCTTTATTGTCAGAATTTACATTAATTTATTGTCAAAGCTATTCCGTTACACCTAATTACCTAATAGTATCAATATATTACATTACAAGACAGATAATACTGTCGCGGCTTTGGGTTGCCTGCTGACAAAAATCTTGGGTTCGTTGTTCGTTTCGTTTATTCCAAAAATCAAAGTCCAATTAACACAGCAATAATTTATTCCACTTAACAAAACACTCTGACACTAATTACTTTATTAACAAACTCAACAATTAAACTCTTTACAATCACTATTTAAATCGTATCACACTCGAACTGAAACTAAACTAACTAATCAATGCCGGCCTTCTTATATATCCCTAAATCTATTCCTGTAAAATCTATAATACACACGATAATCTTATTTTCCAGATTGAAGTAGAATAATTCGCTAGATTCTAGTATCTTCGCCATCGATTCTTGACAGCCTGGCGGACGTTTAGCATTATTGTGACACTGCCCTCCTCTTAAGGTTGATCTTCGCGCCCATGATATTTCGCCAATCTGTCCAGATGTACAACTTTCATCTTACTCCTGGTGTTGCGTTGGACCCGATAAACCAAATCATTGATCCTCTTGATTATTTTGTAGGGTCCTTCCCATGCTGAAGACAATTTCGGCGATACTCCTTTCTTTCTAGCTGGATTATACAGCCACACCAAATCACCTTCTTGAAATCCGGCTGAATTAGCTTTCAGATCGTATCTGGTCTTCATCCGGTCACTGGCTAGTTGAATATGCTCCCGAGCAAAATCATGGATACCCAGAAGTCGTGCGCCCTTACTTCGTCGGCATAGTCTCGAATTTCTTTTCGTTCTTCTTCAGGTATCCCAAACATCAGTTCGCAAGGTAACCTGAGTTCTCTTCCAAAAACGATTCTGGCTGGACTTTCACCTGTGGACTCGTGAACAGCTGCTCTGTAAGCCATTAAAAACAGAGGCAAGTGTTTGTCCCAATCACGCTGGTTCCTTGCGACCACTTTTGTTAGATGCTCCTCTATGGTCTTATTAAATCGTTCTACCATGCCATCAGACTATGGATGTAAAGGTGTTGTCCTGGTCTTACGGATTCCCATGATCTCACAAATTTTCTTAAAGATGGCAGATTCGAAGTTTCGTCCTTGGTCTGAATGTAACTCTAGTGGCACACCATGACGACTAAAAACTTCGTCCACTAGCACCTGGGCAACAGTGATGGCTTCTTGATTGGGAATAGCAAAAACTTCTGGCCATTTACTGAAGTAATCCATGATAACTAAGATGTATTTGTTACCACGCTCTGAATCTGGGAACGGTCCTGCTACATCTATCGCTATTCTCTCAAATGGAAGACCGACGTTGTACTGTTTCATGGGCCCCCGAGATCTTAGTTTAGGGCCTTTACTGGTAGCACAGATGTCGCATTTTCGGCACCAGCTTTTAACGTCTTCATGGTAGTGAACCCAGTAAAAACGTTCCCGAATTTTGTCCAAAGTCTTGTTAACTCCGAAATGTGCCCCTGAAGTTCCGTCGTGTATCTCTTTTAATACATCTTCCACTCGGTCTTTTGGGATAACCAGTTGGCTCTTAGTGGATTTCCCATCGGCACTTTCCCAAACTCTTTTGAGCAAACCATTTTCGACGGCCAGAGAGTTCCATTGGGCCCACAACGCTTTGTGAATCAAGCTCTTGTTTGACACTTCCCTCCATTCTGGCCTACATTCATCATTTTCTTTAAGATGTAGAATTTGCCCGATGTCCTGGTCTGCCTCCTGATCTTCTCTCATTTGCTTGGTAGTCCATTTGTCATCGACGATCAGGCCCGTTCTTCTTACAGCTGGACTAGTGTTTTTCTCATGTATATCGATTCTTTGACAATGTTTGCAATCTTCTTCACATGGCCGTCTAGACAGAGCGTCAGCATTTTTATGCAGGTTTCCAGGTCGATGTTTAATTTGGAAATCGTATTGCTGCAATTTCTCAATCCATCTAGCAAGCTGTCCTTCAGGAGTTTTCATTTTTAAAAGCCATTTTAGAGCTGCATGATCTGTTCGAATTAGAAACTTGCGTCCGTAGAGATACTTATGAAAGTGGTCGACTGCTTTTACTATGGCAAGCAACTCTCTTCTGGTGACACAATAATTTCGTTCCGGCTTTGATAATGTTCTGCTGTAGTACTCCACGACATGTTCCTGTGAATTTTGGATTTGTGAAAGGACAGCTCCAACACTGGTGTTACTTGTATCTGTGTCCAAAATCAACATGCCTTTGTGATCAGGATAGGACAACACTGGACTCGTACATAATGCTCCTTTCAATTTTCTAAATGCGGAATCGCATTCTTGGGTCCAATTGAATGTTGATTTTTCTTCTGTTAATCGATGAAGTGAAGCAGCTATATTGGCAAATCCTTCCACAAATCTTCGATAATAAGAACATAATCCTAGAAAACTCCTTAGTTCATGTTTGTCGCGTGGTTTTGGCCAGTCCCTGACAGCATCTATTTTTCCTTCCATAACTTGTATGCCCTCTTCAGATACCACGTGACCTAAGAATTCCACTTTCTTTTGAAATAGGAAACACTTATTTGGATTGAGTTTCAAGTTGGCATTCCGGAAGCGGTCAAAAACTTCTTTTAGGTTATTGAGATGTTCTTGGAACGAATTTCCCATAATCATGACATCATCCAAATATACCAGGCAAGTTCTCCATGTAAGGCCTCGCAAAACAAGATGCATCAGTCGCTCAAACGTAGCTGGAGCATTACACAATCCGAAAGGCATTACATTAAACTGGTATAGCCCGCTTCCGGTACTGAAGGCAGTTTTCTCTTTGTCATCGTCATGTATTGCCACTTGCCAGTATCCACTTTTGAGGTCCAAGGTGGAAAACCATTTGGAGCCCAATAGAGTTGTTAGTGTATCGTCTATTCTTGGGAGAGGGAAGCTGTCCTTCTTGGTGACGTCATTAAGCTTTCGGTAGTCCACACAAAATCTAAGACTCCCATCTTTCTTCGTAACCAATACTACTGGCGCGGACCATGGACTATTTCACTCTTCAATGATTCCCTCTTGAAGCATTTTATCAATTTGGTTTTCCACTTCCTGTTGCTTAGTTACTGGCATACGTCGTGGTGGTTGTCTAATTGGGTGTGCCAATCCAGTATCAATTTTATGTTGAATTAAGCTGGTTCGTCCGGTTTGATTGTCCATCACAAATACGTCTGCTTCTTTCAAAATGAAGTCTGTGGCTTCTTGAAGTCTATCTGGATCGAGATGTTTCGATGATTTCGCCAAAGTCTGCATCAAGGTGTCCGTATCCAATTTGGATTTCACAAACCGTCGCTTATCTGGTAGGTCACAGTTCGATATTTGCTTCACTGGTTCGAGAGCTCCAATAATGTCTCCTTCTTTTATTCTTACTGTTTCGGAAGAGACATTGGCAATTCTTATCATAATGTCTCCATTTGTTCTTACTAGAGTCTTTCCAACAAGAAATCTTTCTGGTTTATCTCCAATGAAATTACGTGTTAGTCCAACGCAGCACCCAGGGTTGGTTTCTAATCTTCCGCAAATGACCTTTTCAGTACTTCCAGGAATCCTCACTGGGGTTGTGGCCAAGATCTTAACAGCATCGGATTCTTCTTGTGTTGTTAGGACAATTTCTTCATTACCAAATTTAAGGATGTTCATGGAAGGATCAAAAGAGAAACCATGTTGGCCGATCAAATCCATTCCCAAAATGAAATCATCTTCTATATCGGCGACTAATGTTTTGTGCCTGAAGGTGGTAGATCCAAAAGTAAGCTCAATCATAGCTTCTTTTTGAATTGGTGCAGATTCGCCGGTGACTGTTCGTAGTGACAGGTTTCTAGTGAGCGGTTGGATTGCTCGAGACTTGACTAATGTTCTTCTAATTATGGAAACTTCAGCACCCGTATCAAAAGTGATGGTTTTCAATTCTCCATTGATTTGTCCTTCGAATTTTAATCCTCTATAATGACTGCCCAATGATTTTATGTAAACAACTCTGGGGGCTTCGTCATTACTAGCCAGCATCCTCCCTTCCGTACTAGTTAGTTCCTGTTTGTTCTTAGGGCTGGCGTCTCTAGACCTTGAAAAGCGTTGAGAATGATCCCCAGATGGAAAGGACATCCTTAGTCTACAATCCCATTGCATGTGTCCAAGTTTTTGGCACCGGTAGCATTTTACTCGGTTTCTCGGGGTTGGTGTTTGTCTGGAATCGTTCCCCATTTTTCTATCTTCTAGTAACAGTTTCTTTATTCTCTCCATGAAATTACTCATTTTGGCTTCGAAGCTATACCATCCTCTTTCGACAATTGTTTTTCCTTTGGGTCCTCAATGGACACTGCTCGTATTCCGGGTCGTGAGGCACCAAAGATTGCTTCTAGTTCTAATGCTCGGACAAGAGCTTCGCTACTCTGTCTGAACTTGGACATTCTCAGGTTTTCCTGGATCTTCGAATCTCTGAGACCATCAATAAATGCAGATACTGCCATCCATTCCTGCATGTCTTCCCCAGCTGCAGGAAACGCCAAACTCACTAGCCTTTTAACTTCTGATTCGAATTCTTGTAA